TGGGAGAACTTTCACAAATGGAGGCTGACTAAATACTTTTTTGGCCCAGTGCACGTGTTGTTGACTCTTATTGGAACACATGTCTGATGAATTGAAACTTAGCAAACTTAAGCAGCATAAAAGTTTTTTTCTCCTTCTTTGCTGTTAAAGCAGTTACAAAGTGATTTATGACTACACATGCATTTGACCTGTTTAAAGAACCAGTTTAACTTGCTGAGTAGAGATACCTATTCTTAGGTAAATATTATATAAGCTGGAGATAGATGTGGTCGCTCTGCAGGTCTTGCTGGCTCACAGAGCCACAGTGTCAGGAATTTATGGAACATAAAAACAGGACACTTCTTTTCTCTTTTAACAGGAGAACATTTCTCATAGAGTCACATTTTTGGGACAATTTACCCTAAAGATGTGTGGAGGCAAAGTTCTTGAGCTCTTTTTTAATAGGGTCATGACTTCATTCTAGAAAAAGCTTCATAAAGTTTCTTTTTTGGAAATCTATATTTTTAAAGATGTGCAGAACACTAAAGAGCAGAAACGAACAGTTTCCTCATGTCGAAGTCTGGGTAATGGAAAAACCACAACATAAGCATAACACTCCTCTGGCTGTTGATGGATCTGACTAATGCCTGTCTTTTTCTATAATTCCATACTGACAGTTTAGTTGTCTCTCACTGCACACCCAAGAAAGGTTGTCACAGCTCATGAAAAACAGCCCCTGTGGACTGCTTTCTCCTCAGCCCAGCCAATTACAGGGCTGGATCACTGAAAGCACAGTAGCAGCTGTTTAATTCTTTTTCTTTTTAGACTTGTTCTGAGCAGAATCGGGATAATTCTGAGTCATCAGTCTCTCCTGGCATTTAGAAACGCCTCTCCTCTCTGGTTTTTCAGTTAAACCTCAAAGAAAACCAGAATTTCATCCTATAATTGTGAAATTGAAACCAAAAGCATGTTTAATTCTTACATGTGCAATTAAGTATTTGAATCAAAAGCATCAGTTATCAAGGTGAGGTTTATTCTTCCGTTTTTCGCTTACTTTGAAAGCAAGAGCCCAGAAACATCATGTCTTTGAAAGTCATTGTTTACCAAAAAACTCTCATTGTTGAACTGGTTCATTATTTTAAACTGCTAAAGAAATAAAAACTACGTGAAAAAAACTCTGGAAAAAGCTTAAACACTGCCTTGATTAATCACTCTATGAATCAAAGCCACATGCAGCAACTGTTCAAAGGGTAGAAATCACCCATTCATCTCTTAAACCACTCAGGCTCAAAATAAGTTTTGATAAAAGGATGAACAACTAAGTCCTTCAGGGTACATCTGAGTTAAAAAATGCTCATGAAATACGTATGTGGCATAACCAGGTAGGTAGGTTTTAATGTTGCAAATCTTCAACGCCTGCCTCCAGAGGGTTAAACCACTCATTCTTCAGTATAAGGCCACAGGGAGCTGACGTCTGTCTCCAGCAGTCAGTAGGTGAGAGGGGGGGACAACCAGGTCTCCGGTCTATCACAGGGACACACACTTTGAGACAAATGAGACTGACAACCACTCAATCGCTCTCATCTAGAGAGTCATCAGTCATCCTAGCAAGCGTGTTTTCAGTCTGTGGGGGAAAATACCAGAGAAAATCCATGTTTGCTAACTCCATACAGAAACATCACAGCAGGGGTTCAAACCTGCAAAAAACTGCAAGGCAACAGTGGTACCAACTGTGCCACCATGCCGCCTTGGAGTGAAAATGTGATCATGACTTAAGCTTCAAAGGGGGCAATTTAATTTTATTTGTTGTTGCCATACCTGAAAATGAAGAGTTAACCAAAAGCAGCTCTGGGCTGTGAACAGCTCAGTCAAAACTTCAAAACTCTGCAGAAGTTCTAAACAACCTCCTAATTGCACCTACCAAAATGCACGTCATGAATGGACTTCATCATGTCTGCACAGTTGTTTCATTTCAACAAGCTGCTTGTGTTTAGGAAGAAAAGGATGAAAGTGTTGGGATCTGGCTAGGACTGAGCTGAAAAGAAGCGTCAGTTTGGGTTTAGCAAGGTGTTATGATCTAAGCAATGAGTGACTGGCACTGGGTTCTTATAGAAACCATGGTACATAGCTCGAAAGGAAACAAGAGTGGTGGATCCAGAATAATGACAAGGGCCCTACAGAAAGTCGACAGTTCAGGAAAATTGACTTAACCTGGCAGCAGCCAGATCTCTATGTAGCCCTGCCCCGTGTCGAGTCTACACATTTTGGATTCTCCTGAGTTTGGAAAACTCCAAATATCGTGAGAATCTATCTTGCAGCACACGGTTAAAACTGACTGGCTGGTCTGAAAGACTCTGGACAAAGTTCTAGAGAGTTGGTTGGAACAAGTTCAGCTGGAACAATGATTGAGCCCCGGGCAGTAGTCGAGTACTTTTCTGATCTACTCCCAGGCTGGTGTGGAGCGTGCTGGGTAGTGGAGTCCAGAAGCTGGTTTGTTCTGAGGGGAATGATGAGTGTGATGGAGGCTGGCTAATGGAGTTCTGGGGCTGGTTTGGGTCTGAGGTGGAGGAGTTTTGGGGTGATTACACGTGGAGTGGAGGTCGGGGAAACAGATCCATGACAGAAAGCTCCAACCTGATGTGAAAGTCAACAATTTGAACAAAAATGTACCTTTGCAGTACGTTCATTTCTAGGATGAAGATTTTACAAATTAAATTCCAAATGAAAAGAAACAAGGCTGAGAAATGTTTCATTGTTTTGCCTTGCAGAAAACCCAAAAGAATGTGACTTCTATTCTAATTGGCATTCTTGTCATTTGAAATATTAAAGCTGAAGTGGAATATTGTTCTAAATATTTGATTTCCTAATGTATTTTTCTATATGACAATTTTAACTTTGGTGTAAAGATGAACAAAATATTTGTCTCAAAAAAAAGGCTTCACCCCAGCAACATTCTGCTTCAGCTCATCAAGGTCACATGCTTCTGACAAACCGAGGGAGTGTGTGTCACCACATTCCACATATCAGCTAGATGAATGTATGAAGGTATCTAGAACAAATATAAAACCTGAGTGCTGCAGCCTGGAGAAACTGGGATGATGTCCCATAACGATGGATCGGTGCTGCGCTGCAGACACGGCTCAGTAATGAGAACTGTCCGTGGTGATGAAGGCAAGAAAACAGCAGAGCCAAAAAGCTAGAGGCAATTTATCAGCAAGTGCAGTTTAACATGCACCTGTGAATGCCTGCTCACCATTTTACACACAATCCACAACTAGATGTTAGAATCATATCCTCACATCACCTAAAGAATCTCACAAGCCACTTGACAACTAATTTGTGCTTTAGTAAAAACCCCGTTCAGCTGTTTTCTTTTGAAAATTATGTTGAATTCAAGACAGATTCTTTCACCTGCTGTCACCAACCTGCCCGCTGCAAACTAAAAACGATTCTACACTTGGGGTGATGTTTACTTTCACTGCAGAAATATTGACACTAAAATGACAAGATACTGACGTTGATTTAAAGGTGCAGTGCACGTTCTTAAAAATAGCAGTTCCAGCAAGTTACATTTAGAAAAATCAAATTAACAATTCAAATGTCCGACCCCCTTTTTCATACTCCCCCCTAAAGTCGCTGAATCTGATGGTTGCAGAAAATGGTACAACATCTGCTTGCGACGAACTCATGTCCAAACATGAGGCACACTGTTCTGTTGACAGAGCTAGCTGAACTGCTGTTAAGGTAGAAACTTACAGATCCAACCCGAAACCAAAACCTTTCACACCCCACACCCCCAAATTTAGCATGCTAGCTAAGATAGTGTGTTGATTTTATGGTAAAAATAAATAAATAAATAAATAAATAAATAAATAAATAAATAAATAAAAACGAAGCAGTTTTAGCTTCTTTGGTTTACTTTTAACTTCAAAATCACAAGAGCTTAGTGCCACTGAAGGTCTGGGGACCCGAATGCTCCTTTTTGCCTGCTCATTGCAGGGCATGTGCATGCGCATGCACACACACACACACACACACACACACACACACACACACACACACACACACACACACACACACACACACACACACACACACACAAACACACACACACACACACACACACACACACACACAGCCACACTGCTGATAGTTGAGAGTAAATTTTGTTCCCAGACAAAAACTTTGTCACCTAAAAGTTTCTTCACAAGAACAAAACAAAACTTTAAGCCTGGGGTATTCAGTTCCAAGCCTGGAGGGCCGGTATCCAGATCATTTTAGTTTTAACTGTTCCAACACACCTTATTTCATTCACCAAGTGACCAACAGGCTTCTGCAGAGCCTGTTGCTGCACAGGTGATTCAACCACTGAATCAAGTGGGTTGGAGCAGAGAAATCACTAAAATGTGATGTATACCAGTCCTCCAGGATCAGAATTGAATACCCCGGCTCTAAACAGAACATGTAGAACAAATCTTTAAATGAGATTTTAGAAAGTAGAAGAAGAAGAATAGATTTTCCTAGTGCCTGCCAATCACAAGGCACTTCACAAAAACAATAACAATAAAAAAGATACAAAAACATTTAAAGAAATAGGAAAAAAAATTACAAAGATAAAAATTTAGAATAAGCCAAGAACGTGAGTGACGTTCAGCGGAGCAGTTTGATGGATGGGTTATATGATCCTGTCAGTTAGATTGGGACATGATCAATGATTGGATGAGCTGTTTTCAGGATTGTGTATTAAAATTATTAAATTTCAACAAAACATTTAATTAATTGGTATTAGTGGTATGTGGCAAGCATTTAAAGCAAAATGGGGAAAATCTCTCATACTGCACCTTTAATTGCAGAATGTACCAGAAGTCAGCATACATATGTATCATACACATTTATATATGATGGATCAGTTTGCCACTGCTTTTCAGTGGCTTCCAAACTAATGGACTTGTAGTTAAATATTTCCAGTCAGTTTCCCTCCATCTCTAACGCCTCTTCACCTTCCCCTGTCTCCTCCACAGACAGTAACTTCCTGTTGGGTAATGCCCAGGGCCACCGTGGCTACCCCATTGTTTACTGCTCAGATGGTTTCTGTGAGCTGACAGGCTTCACCAGAACTGAAGTGATGCAGAAGCATTGCACCTGCCACTTCCTGTATGGGACTGACACCAGCGACCACGTGGCCCAACAGATAGAGAAGGCTCTGGAGGGCCGAGAGGAGTACCAGGCTGAGGTTCACTTTTACAAGAAGAATGGTGGGTGCTTTCAATAAAAGTTGAAGGTTTTAATCGAAATGTCAATTACAGCTCATTTGAAATATTATGAAGATTCTGGTATTACTTAATGACCTACACTGTTCTGGGTTGTATTTACTTTTGCAGGGTCGCTCACTGATTTGATAATTTTTTTAACGAAGCATTTTAAGACGAAACCGAGCAGCGCTGTGGTTCTTTAGAGCTGATGCTTCTCTGATTATTTACACAAAACGATCAGATTTTACAGAACATTTTAATTCTAAGTAGCAACTCATCAGTATTGCAGGAAGGACTTCCACGTTGTGCACTGACATCCAGCTTTTATCCTAACACACATTTCTACAAGCAAATTTAACTCCATCCAGTTGACGTTTTTGCTAATCCTTCTGGAAGCCTTGAACATGTCATGCATGAGAGGAGAGCACACAGCAGCAGTGATAAAGCCTCAATGAGTTATGCACAGGGTTATGTTCATTCAGAGACAAACCTGCATCCTCCAAGTGTGTTAACCAGTGGAGGTTAGCCAAATCTAAGCTGAAGCTAAGCACAAGCATCTTCAAGTTTTATGCTTCTGACATTGCACAGTTAGGGAATGTCACTGGGATGAAGAATGTAATTAAATGATTTGCTTGATTTAGAAAAACATGACAGATAAAGTAAAATATTAATACTGGAATTCAGAAAAACAGGCACTAGTGAGTCTCTAAAACATGAAGAACTCACACCACTACTGTCTCTGACCAGTAACATTTCCATCTTCAGTGTTTTTCTTCCCCTTTTCTTATATTTTTGCATAACACATACAAGCACATTGAGGACACTTTAGGAGTATGAAACATCTGTTATGTCTCGAACACTTCACTAATGAGCTAACTAGCCTGTGCTACTTGGATGGTTGGTGCTTCTTCACTTCCTGACTTGTTATACCAGCAATCTTGTAAGGAAGGCAGTTAAAGCTTCACTAACTAGTGATAAGGAATCCACATTTAAGAGATGAGTGAGTGAAGTTTGTTTGTTTACTACATGTTTCTAATTTAAAGTGGCAGGATACTTCACAATGTGTACATTACATTAAAAACAGTTAAGTGAAAAATAAACTAAAATTTCATTTGTTATTCTGGTTTTGCTGTAGGAGTGGCCTTCTGGTGCCTCTTGGACATTGTCCCCATAAAGAATGAAAAGGGGGAAATGGTCCTCTTCCTCTTCTCATTCAAAGACATCACTGAAACCTACGGAAAGGACCCCCACAGCAGCAAGAGGGAAGGTAAAAAATAAAAATAAAAGCCACATCACGTTGACTTTAATCATCGTTTATGAGCAAACACTCAGCTTTCATTTTTTTCTCTGCAGTCCTGCTAATCACTGCAGTTCTGTTTTTAAAATTCATTTTTGCCGTAATACAGTTTGATAAAAACAAATGCATAACAGTAATTTGAGAAAATAAAAGGATCTCTTCAGGGGATTTACTTTTATTTGCCTGTTTTGTGTTACTTTCAGAAGATGAGAGGTGCAGGAGGAAGGGCAGGTCTCGCTTCAGTGAGGCCAGGAAACATGGACGCACCGTGTTGTACCAGCTGACCAGCCACTTCTCAAGAGGCGACAAAGGCGACGCCAGCCTGGATGAAGTAAGTACACTTTCATTTTTTAGCTGTTCTGAAACTAAGAAAGCATCACATTGATGCACACACAAAAGCACTTCCATGAGGGAATCCTGGCCGACCCAGCATCCTCGATTTAAAAACCATACTGTATAAACACATTTATTGATGATTATCAGCATTAATATATGAAAAGTTAAATCCATTGACACAACTTTAACCCTCCCACTGTCTTCATGGGTGACCCCGCCAAGAAAGCTGACCATTGAGCAGGGTTGATGCTCACTCCTCACCCCTGCCACGTGGACCTCAAGGGATAAACCATCAATCCTGCTCAATGGTCAACTTTCCTGGGAGGGTCACCCATGAAGACAGTGGGAGGGTTAAAGAAAAATAACCACATGTACCTTTCACTGCTTTCTTAATAAAAACAAGTTAATCTTGAAAATGCTGTTTAATGACTCATATTTGTCTGTTTTTGATTGGTTTCCTCCTAGAAAACATGCAGCTAAAGCCCTCATGAGGTTTGAACAAATACTTTTGAAAGTGAACAATCTTTTTTTTTATAAAGTAGGAACAAGCCTCTGATCCTGCTGTGCAGCATGTGGCTGATCTCCATTATAAAAACAGCCTTTTATTGCACACTGTTTTATTTTTTGCTGGCTTTAAACAGACAGACAGTGAGGGCATCGAGGTCACAGAGAAGCCTGATGCATCATCGTCCTCATTTTTGTGTGAAGCCACAACCTTAACGAAAACTATTTCTACGTTTTCAACCCGTTCTTGGCTCCTCCTCTGCCAAAATTCCTAATGTAGCGCACCGACGTAACCATGTGACAATTTAGTATGCTGGCTAATATATCTAACCCGGCTCCAGCTTTGCGTCCTGTTTAACTGCTTCATTGGGAATGTGTGATTTGTGCTCACAGAGGGGTATGTGGAGAGCTACAATCAGAGGGCAGTATGATGGATTATGATACAATTATGAAGAACAGGATGTTCAAAACTATTGGATGAGATTTTACAGAAATTCTACATTTAAGGTGCAGTTAATATTATGATTTTTTAACCAAATATTTAATTAATTGGTTACCATCATTATGCTAAGAGCATTTCAAGCTATGAGGCAAGAAATGCTCCACAAAAACATTTCTAACTGCACCTTTTAACCTTCAAGTCCATGTAGGTTCCATTAATGGATCTTTAATTTGGCACGATATCCAATTGACTTCATTTTATTAGGATCCCCTTAACTTATGAGATTCCAAACCTATGAAGACTTTAGGTAAAATAAATAAATAAATAAAAAGAAACAGCAGCTTCTAATTTGATGCTTTGACCATGAATTGTGTTTTTGTAAGTGTTGCCACTTTAACCCAGAGGTGTAAAAACAGCTTAAAAACTAAGACCTTAATTATGGAGTACGTTAATATATGTGATTTACAGTTAAATTGACACAACTATATATATGTGTTTCTTTTCAGAGTGTAGAAGTTTTCCAGTTAACCCTCGGGCTTCACTTTAATTTTCATACAAAAGAGTCATTAGAGGACAAAAACATCTGCTTGTAAAAGTGGCAATAAAAAATGTATGCATTAATTTTTATTATTTTTATTTTTTTTTGCTTTTTTTCATAGATCTGTTGAACAACTTCAACCCTGCTCAAACATTAAAAAATGTCAATCATTTTGAGGCTTTTAACCCTTGAAATGCCAGTTTGAATCCTCAAAGTCATTGCTGTAATTTATGAAAAAAATACAAAAACTGAGTTATTTTCTAAAAAAGAAATATTTTTTGCCTGGGGTGTTTAGTACAAATCAGTCTTGATTATGTTATGAAATGTCTAAAATGTTGAATTTTTTGCATTTATAGTTTTTACATAGCAGATTTAAAATTTCCTAGACACTCGAGCCATTAGAGGACTAAAACATCCACTTTTAAAACTGCTTTAATTTGTTTTTCTTTGTCTTTCGTGTGTCTGTCTCAAGAGATCGGTTTCATCAGCATGTCAACATAAGAGGAGTTTAAAGTTATACCTCTTAAGCAGTGACTTATTTTGCTTTCAAATAAAAAGGGATTTTTTTCTAGTCGTACAACAGTTTGAGATATCTCCTGCTGCCTTTTACTGATCAGCACCAGCCCTTCACTGTGCTGTCTCATCCCAAGAGGATTAAAGCGATTTAATAAAACCTAATAAAATCTGAGAACCTGTAAAACATGTGACTGATCATGATGGCAATTCAGAATGACAAATATAGGCTTGTGAGATTAATTTACCAGTTATGTGCCGTTAACTAAGCACATCTTCATTTTACCACTGAAATCAAATAGTCTAATCACATTTTACTTTAATGCCTTTCACATTTAAAAGACCCCTTGATGTTTAATGCAGTAAACGTGCACATTTTTCACATTTTGTTGCAAAAGATCACTTTAGACAGTCAGTGGCTTCGTAGATTGACCTACATGTGCTACAACCACCCACCAGCTGCCCTAATTCACCATCTCGCCTAATTTCAGATCAGTGTTCATCATGGATGTGCAAAGCACACGTGTGTTTTTGTAGTACCTACACATTTGCTTTTCTACAGTCAGGAATGTATTACACACACTGAGGAGGGGTAGAGAAACACGCACGCTGCAAAACATCCACATACTCATGATGGGATAAACAATATTTATCATTCAGATTTCATGCCAGCACTCTCAGCATGACACGGTACTTTGCAGCCTGCTGATTTTCTTTCGCTCAACCTCCTCTGAAGTGTTTTATTCTGTCCATTTCACTTATAAAACAGATATGATTTTCGTCAAACTTGAATTCATACACTACCAGTTAAATTTCCTTAAATAAGGCAGTTGATTACATGTATGTTTAATTTAAAACCTCTGATTATCTGTAGCTTAGGGAGAAAGGGATCCCTGACAAGCCCCAACAGAGGGTGGCACCAACCTGCAGATTTGAGCTACATGTGCAGCTGTAGGATCTTTCATGGCGGTTAAAAGAGTCGGAGTACCCGGCCCGGAGGGTTACCGGGGTCCCACCCTGGAGCCAGGCCTGGGGTTGGGGCCCGTGAGCGAGCGCCTGGTGGCCGGGCTTTCGTCCATGGGGCCCGGCCGGGCCCAGCCCGAACCGGATACATGGGCTCGTCCAACTGTGGACCCACCACCCGCAGGAGGAACATGAAGGGTCCGGTGCAATGTGAATCGGGTGGCAGACCAAGGCGGGAGCCTTGGCGGTCCAATCCCCGGACAAGAAAACTAGCTTTTGGGACATGGAACGTCACCTCGCTGGCGGGGAAGGAGCCGGAGCTTGTGGCAGAGGTTGAGCGGTACCGGCTAGATATAGTCGGACTCACCTCGACACATAGCATTGGCTCTGGAACCCGAGACCTGGAGAGGGGTTGGACACTCTACTTTGCTGGAGTTGCTCCGGGTGAGAGGCGGAGGGCTGGGGTTGGCTTTTTGTTAGCCCCAAGACTCTCTGCCTGTGTGTTGGGGTTTACCCCGGGGGACAAGAGGGTAGCTTCCTTGCGCCTTCGGGTCGGGGAACGGGTCCTGACTGTTGTTTGTGCTTATGGGCCAAATATCAGTTCAGAGTACCCACCCTTTTTGGAGTCCCTGGGACGAGTGCTAGATAGTGCTCCATCAGGGGACTCCATTGTCCTGCTGGGGGACTTCAATGCTCACGTGGGCAATGACAGCTTGACCTGGAGGGGTGTGATTGGGAGGAACGGCCCACCTGATCAGAACTCGAGCGGTGTTTTGTTATTGGACTTCTGTGCAAGCCGCAGTTTGGCCATAACGAACACCATGTTCGAACATAAGGATGCCCACCGGTACACTTGGTACCAGGGCAGCCTAGGTCACAGGTCGATGATAGATTTTGTAGTCGTATCATCTGACCTGCGGCCGTATGTTTTGGACACCCGAGTGAAGAGAGGGGCGGAGCTGTCAACTGATCACCACCTGGTGGTGAGTTGGATCAGATGGCAAGGGAACATGCCGCGTAGACCTGGCAGACCCAAACGCATAGTGAGGGTCTGCTGGGAACGCCTGGCAGAAGAACCTGTCAAGACGGTCTTCAACTCCCACCTCCGGCAGAGCTTTGACCACGTCCCGAGAGCAGTGGGGGACATTGAGTCCGAGTGGGCCTTGTTCCACTCTGCGATTGTCGAGGCGGCTGTTGCTAGCTGTGGTCGTAAGGTGGCCGGTGCCAGTCGTGGTGGCAACCCCCGTACCCGCTGGTGAACACCAGAGGTTCGGGGAGCCGTCAGGCTGAAGAAGGAGGCCTACAGGGCGTGGCTGGTCTGTGGGTCTCCGGAGGCAGCAGACAGGTACCGGATAGCCAAGCGGGGTGCAGCAGTGGCAGTTGCCGAGGCAAAATCTCGGGCGTGGGAGGAGTTTGGTGAGGCCATGGAGAAAGACTATCGATCGGCTTCAAAGAGGTTCTGGCAAACTGTCCGGCGCCTCAGGAGAGGGAGGCAGCAACTCGCTCACACTGTTTACAGTGGGGATGGGGAGCTGCTGACGTCAACTGAGGCTATAGTCGGACGGTGGAAGGAATACTTTGAGGAGCTCCTCAATCCCACCAATGCGCATTCCGAGGAGGAACCAGAGCTGGGAGGCCTGGGGATGGACTGTCCGATCTCGGGGGCAGAAGTTGCTGAGGTAGTCAAAAAACTACACAGCGGCGGAGCCCCGGGGGCGGATGAGGTTCGTCCTGGGTATCTCAAGGCTATGGATGTTGTAGGGCTGTCATGGTTGACACGTCTCTACAACATTGCGTGGTCATCGGGGGCAGTTCCTAGGGAGTGGCAGACCGGGGTGGTGGTCCCCATCTTTAAGAAGGGTGACCTGAGGGTGTGTTCCAACTATAGGGGGATCACACTCCTCAGCCTCCCTGGAAAGGTCTACTCCAAGGTACTGGAGAGGAGGGTCCGATCGATAGTTGAATCTCAGATAGAGGAGGAGCAATGTGGTTTTCGTCCTGGCCGTGGAACTGTGGACCAGCTCTATACCCTTGC